ATTTCATGTAACAACAACAATTTCTACAATTTTTATTACCAATCAGACTTTGTTAATATATAAAAGTAACATCCATAATTCTTACAACCATTTTTTCTACAACCAAAAGTCTACAGTCACAGTTTACAGCCACAATCCTCACCAATCAGGTCCACTGTTTTATTTTATATGAGTAATTAATAAATTAAAAAGTAGGGATAAAATAGAAAAATTAGTTATAAATATGCATTGAAAATACAAAACGATAAATAATATAATACAAAAAATTAAGTTTAGAATGAAAACTAATATGAAACGAAAAGACTATTAATTTTTTCTAGGTGACTTAAACGACTCTGACCATTACAAGAATAAGTGGTTCCTATTTACTTTCATACATTATCTCAACTAGAATAAGTAGGGCAACAGAAAAAAAAAATTACCAATATAACCAGTGGCGGAATTAGAAATTTTTTTGACCGAGGTCATTTTTATAATTAATATATTAATATAATTTTTAATAAAATTAATAAAAAAATCTTATAAAATTATACAAAAACACTGAATATATAGAGAACAACAAAATAAAACTGGGCTATAAACCTACACATAAGAAAATAACGATAACAAATGAAAAGAAATATTAATACAATATGAGACATTTCATAGTTTTAAATTCATGTGAGTGAGATCAAACGGTAAAATAAAATAAGTTAGTAGGGGTCAAACATGAGGTTTACACCATATAATATTATAGAATTTGATAAATTAGCAAAAAACAAAATTTTACCGGGGTCACTGAATGTAAGTGCATTAATATAGGCATTAGTAGTTTATTAGTACTTTATTATAGAAATTGGTCACAAACTGGACCTTTAAATTTATGATTTGTGTAATTTTTCCAATGGTATAAAGATTGGTTAAGTTAAAAAATGCTCACAAAATTTATGTACTAAGTATGTATCTAGGTATCAAAGGTGGTGGCCTAGTGGTAACACAAGGGAGTTGGTTCTTTTGTACTCTGGATTCAGACCTTCTTTGGTACAAAGGGTTATTCTTAAATCGGAATTTCCAAAGACTGTCTCCGGATACCGAAAAAATTATGTTCCAAAAGTTTGGAACTCCCACAATTTATAAAAAAAATATGTATCTAACGTATGTAAGTGCGTGAAGAGTGGAATAACGTAAGTGCCTCAAAGTTATGAATTTTTTACGGGATAATAAAAAA